TCTGGAGGCCTTCGGGCGGCTGTGGCAGGTACAGAGCCGCCTGGGTAGCGGCTCCTCGGCCTCAGTATATCGAGTGCGCTGCTGCGGCACCCCCGGCTCGCCCCCCGGCGCTCTCAAGCAGTTTTTGCCTCCAGGAACCACAGGGGCCGCGGCGTCGGCCGCGGAGTACGGTTTCCGCAAAGAGAGGGCGGCGCTGGAGCAGTTGCAGGGTCACCGGAACATCGGTAATTGTCGCTGCCTCCCGTCTTCCCCATGTCTCAGTCCAAGCGTGCACTTCAGCCTGGAATCATTTTCGTCTCTTACGCGGGAGAAGCGGATCTGGCCCCGCATTATCACTCGATACAGGCTCCTTTCCCATCCCCCTTTCGTTTTATTGCTGCCTGCGTGAGGGACGGTGGAGTTAGTGGTCTGCTTTGCCTGATGTCCCACAGTAGATGATCAATTAGTCCTATTTTCCGGCTCTCTTAGGAGAATGCCGCACTCATTAGTATAGAGAAATATCTTTTCTAATGAAAGGAGGTATCTTTGCTAGATTGTCATCTTTCCAGACCAGTGGAAAATAAGAAATATTCTAGAGCTATGACATCACTGCTACCGTAATAACTTCTATAGCTAGTAACATACATGTTTATTGTGGATTTGAAAGAAATGACATAGTATTACAGAGGATTCATTATGGAAGAGTGAAATTTTGGAACACTTTGTCTTTGCTTTCGTAAGATCATTTCATGACTCATATTCAGAATGTTACATATATATTGATGATTGATCTGTGGAAACTATCTTGTCATACAGCAGCAGGTAACTTATAAGTAGCGATAGCTTTGGTTAATTTTTTAAAAAGGCCGTACTTTTTGGCAAGTATAATCCCTATTTAATTCAAAGAACGACCTTTTTAATAATACACTGTTAGAGAAAAATTGCTTAGCACTAGCACTGCATGTTTCTTTTAAGCTAAGCTTGCTAAATGGTGTATCATTAAAACTTTGATAGTGAAGAAATTTCTGCAGACCTCAGGACTTGTTGGATCTGCAAGATTAGATTAACATGTTATCTGGAAAGTCTTACTATCTTTTAATATGCAGAGTATAGAGTGCTGTTGGGATCAAGAAGCAAGCTTCAATTTACTATTAAGAGAGTTACTTTAATATTATGACTTTTATTTTTAATAATTTTAATTTGGCAAATTAAATGCAAATTTACTCACCACTGAGAGTCCTTGTTGAAACAGTTTGAATCATTATGCTATATTCGATATCTTTGATTGGTAGTATGCTGTTGAAGGTCGTTTCATTTTATTACAATAATCTAGTCTGAAGATGTTACAGGAAAAATATTGGAAGCTTGCTTGTTCAACCAGGTTACCCTTATCTAGACTAGCTGAAATTTATATTGTAGAGCTATACACTTAAGTAGTAATTTACTGAGTTTGGTTTTTAAGGCATTATAATTTGTTTCTTTTTCTAGTGACTTTATATGGAGTCTTTACAATCCACTTTTCTCCAAATGTGCCATCACGCTGTCTGTTGCTTGAACTCCTGGATGTCAGTGTTTCGGAATTGCTTTTATATTCCAGTCACCAGGGTTGCTCCATGTGGATGATACAGCATTGTGCCAGAGATGTTCTGGAGGCCCTTGCTTTTCTTCATCATGAGGGTTATGTCCATGCAGACCTCAAACCACGTAACATATTGTGGAGTGCAGAGAATGAATGTTTTAAGCTTATTGACTTTGGACTTAGCTTCAAAGAGGGCAATCAGGTAAGAAATTCCTTTTCTTTTCCCTTATAGTTTATAAAGTCTAGTGGTTTAAACTGTATATTTTGATGTAACAAGGACAGTTGAGTTGGAACTGAAGTATTTCTAGCTAAGACATTGAAATGCCTGGGGATAGAAGTAGATCAAAAGAATTTCAGGATCACCCGTGAAAAAAGTGCATGTGTTTGGGTTGGGATGGAGAAACTAGTAGGGCACAGGAGTTAATAAAAATACTAACGTAATAGAATGTTTATTTTATTCTATAAGTATTTGGTTAATTTCTGAGTTACTCTTCCTGGTATCTTCAGTGGTGGTGCTGTATTTTACGGAATTATGCATGTGATGGTTCTTGCAAACCATCATTCTCCATGTTTTATCAGCTCTTTGCAGAGTGTTCTTTTTTATCAGCAATGCCTAATATGTAAGAAACTATCTAAAGATTTCTTTATGAGCAGCTGTATGGAAAGTATATAGCTTGTCTGTGAGAACTGTCCCATGACTGAACATTTTTGACGTTTAGTTTGGCAGTGTTGTATTGCATGTATAGAGAAGTAAGTACACTCTGTTGAGACAGATGGAAAATACACAGCTTTTTATTGGTTATAATATTTATTCGTTTTATCTAGGATGTAAAGTATATTCAGACAGACGGGTATCGGGCTCCAGAAGCAGAATTGCAAAATTGCTTGGCCCAGGCTGGCCTTCAGAGTGATACAGAATGTACCTCAGCTGTTGATCTGTGGAGCCTAGGAATCATTTTACTGGAAATGTTCTCAGGAATGAAACTGAAACATACAGTCAGATCTCAGGAATGGAAGGTAAACCACACTAACGTTTTGCTTTGGGATCCTTAAGAATACTTGATTTATGATAATTCTTATTAAGGAATCCAGTGTATTCTTTTCTCCATACTTCTTTCTGTGTTTATGGTCTCTTTAGTAACACTGCTTATCCTTGTAGCTACGTATATGCTAATGAGCATTGTATTCTCACTGTGCCTAGCCATGGTTCTGGCATGTTGTGTTTGACAAAATACTTGAATGAATACATTTTCCTGAAGAAGCAAAGTGGTTTCTTTGTTTAGTAGTTTAAATGTATCAGTTTCTAAGGTATTACTAATAGAATCATAGATTATAAGGTAATCTATACATAATGCTTTATAATTAAAAACAGTAATTTAATGTACAGTCTAATTAAGTTTTTCCAATTATGCAGTGAGGACAGAGTGGATATTGGTTATTTTTGTTTAATAAAGAAAAGCATAGCTGGGCTGTTGGCTTAACTCCTAAAATCCAGCACTCTGGGAGGCTAGAGTAGGAGGATTACATGTTAAAGCCCAGCCTGGGCAATTTAGTAAATTAATGAGACCCTATCTCCAAAGGAAAAATAAAAGGGCTGGGCATATAGTTCCCAGTACAGAAAAACTAACAACTGGAGGCACAGATGCATAAAACAGTTTGCTTCAGGTTGTATGGCTAGTTGCTTCAGACTTGGGCCCCAAATCCTGTTCTTTTTAAAGGTTAAAGGTGCTTTCCACAATTTATACTGCTTCATATCTATTTATAGTACATATGTGAATATGGTAAATGACCACTGTTTATATTATTGTTTCTGTGGGAACATGAATTCTAAGCTCTAAACCTCTGATGTTTGAATGAAATTATTATGTTTACAACAAAATTAAGAATTGTTTTTGAATATTGTGGGACTTTAATGTGATCATGCCAGTTTCCATTAGCTTTGATTTGATAAATAATGCAATGTTTTGGGGTTATTATTGGGTTTGAAATTAAATTTTAAAAATTTAAACAAGTATTTAATATGAAATGAAATGTTTTCTTTTTTTTTTAAGAATTCTTTTGTTTTTGTTTTGTTTTGTTTTGTTTTTGGTACCAGGGATCGAACTCGGGTCCTTGTGCTTGTGAGGCAGGTCACGGAACAATTGAGCTAAATTCCCGGCCCTGAAGTGTTTTCATTTTAAGCAATAAGTATCTCTTGAGCCTCTAAAACGTAACATACTACATGACTATTACAATATAATATATAGTTTTATTTCTGTTAAAACTTTCAGTTACTGATGTTTAGTGTAGCAGTTCTTGGAGAGACTACTTTAACAGCCTAATGAGTATATTTAGTGCTTATTTTTGACCAAAAAAATGCTACTGTGAGGTAAAACTCAATATCATTCTTTATTGTTGGTACTCCAGATAGTCAAGAGGCTAATCCAGTTGTAGATTTATTAATTTAATTTGACAGTCTGTGAATGTTTTGGTTTGTCTAGAGCTTATCAGAATTAGGTCACTTTAAAATTTGTGTGAAATGTGAAGGAACAATAATAATATATGAATATATGTTAATAAAGTCCTAAATATAAACCTTTCTAGGTAAAATGTTTTTATTGTTTTATCATTTTCTATAAGGCACAATTACCAACTGGTATGTTTAAGGTTTATATCTTACTTTCACAGTTTACTTTCTAAAAAATGAGAATAATAACATATCTCATAACACTATTGAGATTAAAAGATGAAATGATGCTTAGTTTTAAGCATAGTGTATGGTCCATGGTAAGAATTCAGTAAATTTTAGTGATAATATGATAGCAGGTCTTTTTTTTGTTTATTGTTTTCTACAGTACTGAGAATTGAACCCCACGGTCTTCACACTGAGGTACATCCTTGCTTTTTTTTTTTTTAGAAAAGGGTCTCACTGGGTCACTAATTTGCTTAGGTTGGGCTTTAACTTGTGATCTTCCTCCCTCATCTTCTCAGAGTGGTGGGATTGCAGGCATGTGCCACCACACCCAGATTGTATATCAGGTCTTTTAGTGATGTACAACATTCTGAGTTAGCATAGTATTCAAGGAGAAAATTTATATTCCATAGAGATTTAGAGTATGAATAATGTGACAAATAACATTTTGATACTAATTTTCTCAGTGATAGTTTCTGTATGTCTGAAAAATCAACTGAAGACTTACTATTAGACACTCATCCGTTACACATTCATTTTTCACTTTGCATTAAATTACATTTTTATATGGTTGCTTGGGTTAAATGTTTATAGAGTGTCAGGTACTGTGTTAGGTGCTGAGAATGGAGAAAAGAAGTATTCCTCCTTTCGAGAAATTTAGGATTATGTGTGTATAGTCTCCATGAATTTTGTAGGTGCTTAGAAGAGTGTTTTTTCTTGCATATTACTTACCAAACAGTCCTGTAACCTAGTACTCCATACACACAAACTGAATTTGAATAACTTAACGACATCTTTTCTCTCTTTTTTCTTTTAAGGCAAACAGTTCTGCTATTATTGATCACATATTTGCCAGTAAAGCAGTGGTGAATGCCGCAATTCCAGCCTATCACCTAAGAGACCTTATCAAAAGGTGTGTTACCTGTACTGCAAACTTGCTTTGCACACATTTACTGTATGAAAGTTTCTTCCTGAATGAATTTATATTCTGATTTGCTTGATCATGTAGAGATTTTACTCCCTTAGAAATAAGAATTTTAGCTGGGGATTTAGCTCAGTGGTTCTTCCGCCTTCCTTGCAAGCATAAGGACCCAAATTTGATCCCTGGTACCAAAAAAGAAAACAAACAAAAAAAAAGAAAAGAAAAAATCCAAAAAAAAAAAAACAGAAATAAGAATTTTAGCTTAGATAGCTTATGCAGGTATTTCATGAGAAATATGACTATTCAAATAGTTTACAAAATTTATTTTCAAAAGAATGTTTTTTTGTTCGTGGTGATGTCAAGCTCTTAGTAGGGCATTCACAGGAGGGCATGTGCTGGACTGCTGTACCTTTGGCCTTTTATACCTCTTGCATTTTTATATATTTGATGGAAAACCAGGTTTTTTTTTGTTGTTGTTGTTGTTAATTTGTTTGTATTTTTTGGTACTGGGGATTGAATTTGGGTCCTTAAGCTTGTGAGGCAGGTGGCAGCACCACTGAGCTAAATCCCCATCCCCTGGAAAACCAGTTTTTAAAGAAAATATTAACAAAATACCAAATTTGCTTTTGGAATATTAAAAGAATTTGTTTTGGGCCAGGGATTTAGCTCAGAGTTTCTGTGGCCTGCCTTGCAAGCTCAAGGACCTGAATTCAATCCCTGGTACCAAAAACAAACAAACAAACAAACAAAAAAGAATTTGTTTTGAGTAAGGTAGTTGGTAATTGCACACCATTCAAAACTCTAGGAATAAATACAGTGTTTGTAATATTTAGATAGGTTCAAATACTGTAATATGTATTATCAAATAGGCTTTTGGGGTTTCTAACATAATGAATGGAAAATTAATAATTACTATGCTAGAAAAGTGTGACTCTTGGTTAAGTAAGAGTATTGTAGTCTCTTTGGAATATGGACCCTACAAATATTCAAATTATTTAAACTTTTTATTTTCAAATAATTTAAACTCACCAGAGGTTAGAATATGTTATATGGATGTCCAGATTTCACTCAGTTTCTCTCAGTGATAACATCTGGCTGTAGTAGAGTATCAAAACCAATAAATTGATGTTGGTACAATCCACAGAAATCATGCAGATTTCATCAGTTTTACATATACTAGTATATGTGTGTGTTTTTCAAATTATTTTAAAATATCTATCAGCTGATTGATAATGAATATTGCAAATTACACTTTACATTGAGGAAATGGTAGTGTAAAATTAAATAATGGACTTTAGCCTGAACGTCAAATTATTTATTAAATACTAGTGTTGGGCTGGGGATTTAGCTCATTGGTTTTGCCACCTGCCTTGCAAGTGCAAGGACCCGAGTTCAATCCCCGGTACTAAACAAAACAAAACAAAACTAATGTTGATGTTTTAAAAAATAGTAGTCCCCTTCATTTTACTAATAAAACTAAATTTGTTAACTACAAAAATTGCAATGCGAAAATGAAAAATACAAACTGAGTTTCTAGCGTTAATTATACTGATACCTTTCTGCATATTGTGTTATGTGTGCATGCAAATTATTTGAACTTTTTTATTACAGTATTATAGAACACAACTACTACAAATGTTAATAGGACAAATATGTAGCTGATGGCTCCTTAGAAATACCACCATTCTAGTCAAGAAATATGACACTTTGCCAGCTACCCTGGAGTTCCTGTTTCTGTCCACATTCCAATCTTAGACCCTTTTCTCCCTAAAAGTAATCATTGTGCTGACTTATATGGTGATCACTTTCTGTTTTCATATCCTTAAGCTAGAGTTTAGTTTTGGTCTTCAAAACAAAGCCTTTTAAGTCTCTTTAGATCTAAAGGGTCCCTTTCCATCTCTCCCTGCTCTTTTCCCTGAGATTTATCTGTTGTACAACTTGGGTTGTTGGCTCAGTACAGTTTTCTATACTCTGAATTTTGCTAATTCTATCATTGAGGTATAGTTTCATATTTTGCTGTTTAATTCCTATAAATTGATAGCTGTTTCTAGAGAGTTTGTGTTTTCTTTTAAAGATTGTAGATAATATGTATTTTTTTATAAGGAGGCAGATGATATGGTTGTCTTTGTTTTATGAGTTAGCAACTATTATTCTTAATCCCTTAGATCCGTTGCTTTGTTAGGTGTTAGAGAGTGGTGATTCTTGTTATTCTGCATTTCTTCATTTTGTTAACTAAAGATAAATATTATACTTGATTCTCTCTTTTTATTTGCTAGTTTTCAAGATAAATGAGTCGGTTGTTATCCTCCAAAGATGATCATTCCCTTTTTTTAATAATTTAAAGTATCATTATGAATAAATGAATTTAAACTTACTTGATGTATTTTTGTTTGTTACAATTTTCATTGTATTCAAGGCTGAAATTTAAGGTTCCCATCTTTTATGATTGGGAAGCTGTGAATGTTGATTTTGGCAGGCATTTGTTCCATAGCTTCCTTGCTATGTGATATGACAAGGTGCTCCCGGTTCATCTTAATACATTTCCTGCCCCAGACCGAGACTTAGCCATTTCTGCAAGAAGCCTTTGTTGTTTTTCTTTTTAGTAGAAAGTATTTTAAAACTGCAGTCTGGGTCTTGGAAACATTCATTGCTACTGAGGTGATCATTATTTCCAGGCTTTTTGTGAAGACAGAGTTCATACTGATATTTCCAACTTGAATTTAAGACCAGAGGGTTTTGATTCTGCTTCTGTTTGTATCTGTTTGTCCTTTTTTTCCAAATCAGAATTCTGATACTTAAGTGCAAATGGAATGCTAGAATTAGAATATTTTATAATTACTCATTTGCTTTATTCCAATTATATATATAGTCTCAGAATAATAGTTCTCTAGTAAGAGTACTTAAAACAGTCAAATTATTTTTTAATATACTCTCTCCTATTTAAAATGTAGCTGTATCTACATTGTCAGATTACATGGCCTTTGTACTCTATGCTGTTTTAATAATCCCTCATTTAATATTAGTTACATGTAACTATTTAATATTCATCATTGGTTCATGTTGTTGGTTTCTCTAGTCATTTTAGTTTGCTGAGTCTTGTTTGCTAAGAGATAATAATAAGGCTTATATCATAATAGGGCTTAATACACTTGAGCTGTTTTTGTTTGTTTGGATGGATGTGAAAATCCTTGGCATATGTTCTTATTTTCTTGAATGTCTTAAAGATGTTACTGCTTTTTCTTCTGACCTTGTGCTTACCCGGCAGGCACAACACCACTGAGCTAAATCCCCAGCCCCTCTTGAATTATTTTTTCATTAAAATTGACCTGGTTGGATTGGGGATTAGCAGTAGACTGCTTTCTGGCATGCCCAAGACTCTAAGGTCAACCCCCAGCACCACAGAAACAATGACAAAAAACCTTGGATTTTTTTGTGTAGAATATTCAATGGATTTCATTTTTATCTTCAGAGTCTAGTAAATTTTACCAGAATGTATATCGATTTGATTTTCCTGGTCTTTATTCTGAGGGACATATATGGTTTTGGTATATAGTTTCAGATCTTTTTTTGTTTTAGAAAACTTTTTAAATTTTGTGATTTTTTTTTCTTTTGTATTTGTTATGTTCTTCTGCTTTGATTTTTAGGCATTTTATAGATTTTGAATTTTCTTTGCCTGTATTTAGTATTGCCATTTTCTCTTGAATCCATTTGATCTTTCCTTATTTTTGATTTTTGAAAATGTTTCTCCTTTCTGTCTCATTCTCTTTTAGACATTGTTATTTATTCATTCTAATATTTTCTTTAGTATAATCTTGTTTTTGAAATTATTTTTCTATTTTGAACTCCTTCTTGACTTCTATTACCTCATTTTTGAGATTTTCTAATTTTGATTTATGTTACTTTTTCATATCATGTATCATTTTTAAAAATATCTTTAGTTCGTTTTGAAGTGGTTATAATGTTCATCTGTTCATATCTTTCTGGCATGCAGTATTATATAATTCCTCTTGCATAATAAATTTGGTATCCTCATGTTTATTTTATGTAAAATTACTTTTCTACACTTTCAGAAGTTGTAGTTGGAATAGTTTTTCTAATTCCATAGGGCTCATTCACCTGTTGTTTTGTGTTCTTTACTCAATAGAGACTGTGCTTTACTTCACTGTGTTTCATTTATTAATCAAAAACATTACCTCAAATCTTAGTATATTTCACAGATATGTGCCGTGTTTATTGCTTCATTTACTCATAAGAATTACACACACACACACACACACACACACACACATATTTTTTTTTGAGAGAGAGAGGGTCTTACTATGTAGTTGAGACTGACCTGGAACTCACTATATAGCTGGTCTCGAACTTGCAGTGATCCTCCTGCCTGAGCCTCCTGAGTGCTGGGATTACAGGCATGTGCCACCACGCCCGGCTGAGAATTATATTTTTAATAGGTGAATGAATCAGTAAACATGCTAATACAATTCATACTCTGGTGAGCATTTGTACATTTTTTTTCTTTAATGACTGCATTTTTGGAAGATTTGACAGTAATTATAAAGTCACTGCTGTGTTTGTCTTTTAGCATGCTTCATGATGATCCAAGCAGAAGGATTCCTGCTGAAATGGCCCTGTGCAGCCCATTCTTTAGCATTCCTTTTGGTAAGTGGGATGTCTTTTTTTTTTTTTTTTCCTGTTCATTTGGTAATCTTACAGTGTGCCTTTCTGAGCTCCTTGGTCTATTTTATATCTATTTATTTGGGAGGATTTACATTTAACCATAGTATAATAAACTTGTACAGCCCCTCATATTGAAGATCTGGTGATGCTTCCTACTCCAGTGCTGAGGCTGCTGAATGTGCTGGATGATGATTATCTTGAGAATGAAGAGGAATATGAAGGTGAGTTCTTTCCAGATTTTATTTAATTTTTTTTAAAAAACTAATTCTTGAATAGAGATATCTATTTATAAGATTATCTTATTTTCCAATTTATAGGAAAGTTTGATGAGGATATTTTACTATGTGATCTCTTAAAATATTCTTAGTTTTTTGGGTTTTTTTTGTACCGGGGATCAAACTCAGAACCTTGTGAGGTAGGCAGCACAGCACCACTGAGCTAAATCACCCCTCGGCCCATGTTCTTTTTGATTCATAAAGTACTTTTGACTCTTACACCTCTACTAAATTACCAAAGATTGGTTCTTTAACAACTTACATGTCTCTAGTCTTCTTATATCCCTTCTCTGTGGTTTTATTTTTCTTTTTTAGCATGTTTTTTGCTTTTCGCAATTCATTAACATTTACTGAGTATTTATTATGTGTCATTGTTGGATTATTCCGTTTTTAATATAGAAGGGGAGACATATACAAACAATTCCAGTTGTGGTGATCTGAAGATAAGGTAATGAAGACTATAGAGAGGAAGGGTACATACATAAATAACCCAGTCTCAGTGATCAGTTAGGGCTTCTTTGCAAAGACCTCTGTTGGTAATTAGAGTCGCTTGGCTAAAAGTTGAGGGATTGAAGAAATATCACACAGACATGGATAAAGTGGCACATTCAGATAATGGAAGTTGATATGACTTATTTTAAGATTTTTGTAGGAAAGCAGTTGATTAAAGTTAAAGAGGTAGCCAGAGCTGAGATACCTGACAGACCTGGTTGCTTTGTTTAAGAATTTGGATTTTAACAAAGAGATAGCAACACTGGAATTTAACCTACAGGAAAGAATACATAGTAGATCCTCAATAAATATTTATTTTAGGAAGGAAATGCTAATTAAAATCAAACTTCAGTGTCTTTTTGTTAACTGTCACATTGATATGATCGCATCAGGCCATGTCTGGACTGATAACTGAGAAGTATGCAATAGAGATACGTACGGGTTTATCTATCGTGGTATTGTTTCTAATGTCAAAAGGTTTGGAAATATTTTAATTACTATCTGTAGATAATTTATTGAACATTGTGGAGTAAAGTCCTACACAACCATAAAAACACATGAGAAGATTTTATGTAATAATATGGAAAGCTCTAAAAGCTATTTAATAAAAAATAGTACTAAAATTCTTCCTTAACTACATATAACCATATTCGCTTATACATACTGATAATATTTTAAGAGAGGATACAGAAGAAACTGATGTTTTCAAGAGGGGAATGGAATGGTAGTTGGGAAGGTTTGAGGAAGACTAAAGACTTAGTCTTTTAAATTTTTAATTATTCAAATATCACTTATTTAAAGCACTAAAATAAAAAGAAAATTACTAAATGCATTGAATTTATATTCTTAAGGTTTAATTTTGAAGATACAGAAAATGTTTATTTTAGTTGTGTATCACTGAATTCTTTGATTTAAAATCTCAAATAATGAATGCTTGTAATTACATTAATGTGATTTATCCAGTATGTTTTAATTACCAGATGTGGTAGAAGATGTGAAAGAGGAATGTCAGAAATATGGACCAGTAGTATCTCTGCTTGTTCCAAAGGAAAATCCTGGCAGAGGACAAGTAAGTGAATGTATTCATAATTGTAGAGTTTTTTTTTTTTTAATTGAACTTACTGGTACATTCTAGGTATACAGTAGAATTACATTCATTACTGGGATCTTGTACTTTTACATGACAGGTCTTGGTTCTCATTTTTTCCCCTGGTCCCTGACCTTCCCTTCACCCCTCCTCCCCTCCCCATCTACAAACACTTAATTTCCATTTTTACATTTTCTCACATTTTTTCCCCCTTTCCCTTATTCCCCTTCCCCTACCCTTCCCACTGTCCCTACACCTTTAGCCCTTTTCTTCCTATTTCACATTGTTAATTATTGCGTTAGGATCTTGAGTACTATTTCAGTTTTTCACACCAGAGAAACTATTCGGTATTTACACATGTGTGACTTATTTATTTCACTTAGGAGTATATCCTCAATACATATCCATTTTCCTATGAATGAATATACTTTCTCATTCTTTATGGCTGAGTAATATTCCATTTTATAGAAAAACCACATCTTCTTTAGCCAGTGTCCATCTGATGGGCAGATGGACTGTTTCCAAGTTTTAGCTATTACAAACTGTGCCGCTATAAATATAGGTGTGCATATGTCATTGTGATATGATTCTTTTAATTCTTTTGGAAAGATAACCAGCAGAGGGATGGCTGGGTCAAATGGAACCTGTAGTCCCAGCTCTTTGAGGTGTCTCCATATTGATTTCCATAGTGGTTGCACCAGTCTGCACTCCCACCAACAATGGAGAAGGTTCCTTTCTCCCCACAACCCTGCCAACATTTGTTATTGTGTGATTTCTTGATAGCAGTCATTCTTTGTGGGGTGAGGTGGAATCTCAGTGCTGTTTTCATCTGCATCTCTTGAATGACCAGTGATGTGGAACATTTTTTCATATATTTACTTGCTGCTTTTACTTTGTCTGAGAAATATCTGTTCATTTCAGATGCCCAGTTTTGCATTGGGTCTTTATATTTGGGTGGGCTGATTGTTTTGAGTTCTTTATATATTCTAGATAATAGTCCTTTGTCTGAGGAGGAGCTGGTGAAATTTTTTTCCCATATTGTAGGCTGTCTCTTAGTTCTGTTGATGGTTTATTTTGCAGTGCAGAAGCTTTTCAATAAGATGAGATCCCACTTTTTGATTCTTTCTGCTAGTTCCCATGCTACTGAGGGTTTGTTCATAAAGTCTTTTCCTATCTCAATGTCTTCCAGAGTTCTGCCTAACTTATCTTCCAGCATGTTTAGTATTTCTTTTTTAATATTTAGATCTTTGACCCACTTTGATTTTAGTTTAGTGCATGGTGAGAAATAAGGGTCTAGTTTTAATCTTGGGCAGGTTGAGATCCAGTTTTTCCAACACCATTTATTAAAGAGGCTATCTTTCCTCCAGTGGGGATGGTCAGCTCCTTTGTCAAAGATGAGGTAGCTAAGTACATCTGGATTTGTTTTTGTGTCTTCCAGTCTGTTCCACTGATCCTCAGGCCTGTTTCTTTGCCAGGACCATGCTGTTTTTATCACATTGGCTTTGTAGTATAGTTTGAAATTGGGAATTGTTATACCCGGTGCCATGTGTCTGTTGCCTAAGATGGCTTTTGCTATCCTAGGTCTATTATGGTTCCAAATCAATTTTTGGATTCTTCTTTCTAGTTCTATGAAGTACAGTGTTGGAATTTCAATTGGCATTGCATTGAATCTGTATAGCAGTTTTGGTAATATGGCTAGTTTCACTATATTGATTCTTCCTACCCAGGAGCAGGGGATGTCTTTCCATTTTCTTATATCCTCTTCGATCTCTTTTTTTTCAGAGTGCTGTAGTTTTCAGTGTAGAGGTCTTTTGCTTCTTTTGTTAGGTTGATTCCTAGATACTTCATTTTTTTGGATGCTATTGTGAAAGGAATTGTTTCCCTAGTTTCTCTCTCAGTGTGTCTTTTGTTTGTGTACAAGAAGGCTATTGATTTTTGTGTGTTGACCTTGTATCCTGCTACTCTGCTAAAAGTATCAGTTAAGTCTAGAAGTCTTTTGGTGGAGTCTTTTGGGTCTTCAATGTAGAGTATCATATCATCAGCAAATAATGACAGTTTAACTTTTTCCTTTCCTATCTTTATTGCTTTAATTTCTTTTTCTTGTCTAGTTGCTGTGGCTAATTTTTCCAGAACTATGGAGAAGAGGAGTGGTGATAGTGGGCATCCTTGTCTTGTTCCTGATTTTAACGTGAAGGTTTTCAGTTTTTGGCCATTTAATATGATGTTGGCTGTTGGTTTTTCATAGGTAGCCTTTATTGAGTTGAGATATAGACCATCTGTTCCAATTTTTTGTAGGCTTTTTATCATGAATGGGTGTTGAATTTTGTCAAATACTTTTTCTGTATCGAGAGGATCATATGGTTTTTGTCCTTGACTTTGTTAATATAGTGTATTACATCTATTGACTTATATGTATGTTGAACCACCCTTGCATCTCTTGAATAAATCCGATTTGTTCAGGATGGACGATCTCTTAATAATCCTCTGTATTCTGTTTGCTAGTATCTTATTAAGGATTTGTGTATCTATATTCATTAAGGAGATTGGTGTCTAGTTCTCCTTTTTAGTTGCATCTTTCCCTGGTTTGGGAATCAAAGTGATACTTGCCTCCAGGAATGAATTTGGAAGTATTGCTTCCCTTTCAATATCATTGAAAAGTGCGAAGAGTAATGGCAGTAGTTCTTCTCTAAATGTCTTGTAAAATTAAGCAGTGAATCCATCAGGACCTGGGCTTTTCTTTGTTGTTAAGTTTTTAATTACATTTTCAATTTCACTGATTGTAATTGGGATGTTTAAAACGTTTTTTATCTTATTTGTTCAACTTCGGTAATTCATAAGTATCTAGAAATCTGTCCATTTCTTCTTTGTTTTCCATTTTATTAGAGTAACAGTTTCTCAAAGTAGGTATTAGTGATCCGCTGGATTTCTTTTGGATCTGTTGTGACTTTGCCTTTTTTATTTCTGATTGCCTGGATCTGAGCCTTTTCTTTCCTTTTTTTGATAAGGTTTGCTAAGGGTTTATCAGTTTTATTTAGTCTTTCAAAAAACCAACTTTTCGATTCGTTTATTTTTTGTATTGTTTTCTTAGTTTCCATTGCATTGATTTCTGCTCTAATCTTTATAATTTCCTCTCTTGTTCGAGCTTTGGTTTTTTCTTGTTCTTGTTTTTCTAGGAGTCTAAGATTCATCGTTAGGTTGTTTATTTGAACTTGTTCTATTTTCCTAGCGTGGGCATTCAGTGCTATGAATTTTTCACGTAGAACTGCTTTCATTGTGTCCCATAGATTCCTGTATGTTGTATTGGCATTTTCATTTATTTGTAAAAACTGTCTGATTTCTTCTTTAATTTCCTCTGTGATCCATTGATTGTTCCAGAGAGTTTGTTCAATTTCCATGTATTTGTGAAGTTCCTATGGTTTCTTATGCTATTGATCTCCAGCTTTATAGCACTGTGATCTGATAATATACAAGGAATAACTTTGATTCTTTTGTATTTATTCAAACCTGTTTTGTGAGCTAGTATGTGATCTGTCTTGGAGAATGACCCATGTGCAGCTGAAAAGAATGTATATGCTGATTTTGTGGGGTGGAACACTATAGACGTCTAATAAGTCCGTGCATTCAAAAGCTTGGTTCAGTTCTAGCATTTCATTGTTGATTTTTTGCCTAGATGATCTGTCTGTTTGTGATAGTGGGGTATTTAGATCCCCCACTACAATTGTATTAGTGCTTATTTGGTTTTTCATGTTACTTAATATTTGTTTTGTATAGTTGGGGGCATTTATATTTGGTGCATATATGTTTATGATTGTCATCTCTTCCTCTTGAATTGTTCCCTTTACAAGAATGTAGTGGCTTTCCTTGTCTCTCTTGATCAGTTTTGGTTTGAAATTTACTTTGTGTGCGAATAAGATTGCTACACCTGCTTTTTTCTGGGCTCCTGTTGTGTGGAGAATTGTTTTCCACCCTTTCACTTTCAGTCTGTGGGCTTCTTTTTGCATTAGGTGTGTTTCTTGTATACAACATATTGTTGGATTTTACTTCTTAATCCAATCTGCCAGTCTGTTTCTCTTGATTGGTGAATTGAGGCCATTGACATTGATGGTTATAACTGATATGTACTGACTTCTTATTGTCATGTTATTGTCTTTTTGTTGACTCTTTTTAATTTTTTGCCCTCTCCTTTTAGTTTCTTGCCTTGACTATTTGGTTTGCTCTGTTGGGCCTCATGGTGGTGTTCTCTTCATTGTCTTTTTGTAGGATATTGTTTGGAATTCCTTGTAGTGCTGGTTTGGTATTCTTGAAGTTTCTCAGGTGTTCTTTGTCATGGAAGTATCTTATTTCCCCATCCATTTTGAAAGAGAGTTTTGCAGGATACATCAGTCTAGGTTCGAGGTTGTTTTCTTTTAGGACTTGAAATACCTTACTCCAGACTCTCCTTCATCTGAGGGTTTGTGTTGAAAAGTCTGCTGTGATTCTGATGGGCTTTCTTTTGCATGTGATTTGTTTCTTTTCTCTTACTGCTTGTAGTATTTTGTTCTTCTGTTGGGTTTCTGGGATCTTTATTGTATGTCTTGGTGTAGATTTTTTTTTTTTTTTTTATCATGACTATTTGGAGTCCTATATGCCTCACTCATCTGTATGTCAAATTCTTCCCCTCTGGGAAGTTTTCTGTCATTCTGTGAACAGCTTTTTAAGTCATTTGCATTTTTTCCTGCTACTTCATGGATTCCTATCAGTCTTATGTTATTCTTCTTTGCATCATCTAGGAGTTGTTGGATCGATTTCTAATGATCCCTTACAGTTTTTAAGAGACCTCTCTTTTCTCGGTCAGTGACTGCTATCCTATCTTCTATATCTGAGATTCTATCTTCACAGTCTTTTATTCTGTTGTGTATACTTTCAATAGAGTTTGTAATCTCCTGGATATCTGTTTGAGTCTGTTTGAATCTGTTTGATGGATTCCATTTCTTTCCCATATT